CTTGTATACAGTTCTCTGACAGTGGTACTGGGAGTCTTGTATACCGTTCTGTGACAGTGGCGCTGGGAGCCTTGCACAGAGTTCTGTGACAGTGACAGGTGTCCTCTCCTGAATGAGTTTATCTCTTTCTTTCCCCACACAAACAGTAGCTTTCCTTCTGTGCATTTGTTTTAAATTTGTATAACTTATAGTTGATCTCAGGTAATATCTGCATATGTTACTGTTCAGGCCTTTAATTTCCAGAGTTGAGAATCAGTTCACTCTGACCATTGGCTCACTCTTGAGACCTGAGGGCCTTATAAATGTCAAAGTCCTAGCTACTCAGTTCCCACTGTAATATTTTTTATTCTTGTAAACTAGAATGTGCCTTTACACAGATAACACTCTTTTGCTGCATTGATTTGCCAGAACATACTATGCCAATTTTTTTCCAAAGTAACATATTTTAGAAATTGGCATAGCAGCCCTTGTGAAAATCCCTTTTGGTGTTGAAGAGAGCAGATAGTAAACAGACATAGAAGATAAGTGTTATTTTTAATAAAATACAGGTAAATTTGCCATTTTTAACCATTTTCTGCTTTTATTTTAATTACTAGTTTATGGTAACAAACTGGACAGCTCCCAAAAATGCTGTGTTGTACACCATGTATTTCATTTTCCCAGAAGACTGTTCTTTTCTTTAGAGACCAGCATTAAACTAATGATGCAGCCAATGGTGGCGATAGTTATTAGGTTACAAGCACATTTGAACTAACCTGACTTTGTAATTGAGATTAGGTTCTCTTTTAGGCCTTTTCTGGAAAGAACCTGTTTGTAAAAACTGAGTTTTGTTCTTTTTTAATATGAAAACCAGACTGACCCTAGAAGTGCTCCTTTAACTTCTCTATTTGGTGGCTATCCACTTCCTTGAACTGTATGTTAGTTGAAGTGATGATAGTTATTAAAAAAAATTTAATTCCTGTTTATCTTCAGCTGGAAAATATCATTTCAAAATGAGAAGTCTTTAGTACTCTTTCCTTAAGTCAGTGACGTGCTCTTACTGCTCTTTGTGGGATTCTTGTTTTAGACACTGCCGTCTTTAGTTGGAAAATACCTAATGCATGTGGTGGGTGACACGGGTCTTCATTTGTCACTCTGTGTCTTCTCAGGTCTGCAGCATTCTCTTGTTAGAAGGGAGAGGATCTGCGATGGTACTGAAGAACCAGCCCTTGCCATCGGCCGCTCTCTGGGGACTGTTCTGAGAAACACTGCCAGTAATGAAAGCAGTTTTCATAACCAGCTCGTATCCCAGGGTTTTGATCACAAAGTTCATTCAGAAGAGTTGCAGTTGTTTAGAACCACATCTGAGGACTGTATCTCCTGCTTACAGAGGTGTCCTGGTGATGGTGATGTGACAAGTCCAGCATTTTCAAATAGAAAAGAGATTTTGTCTGCTGAATGCCACCCTGCAATACAGGACACAGAAGCTGAATGTAGTGGTTATCACTCCCAGTCCCAGAAAACCTTTTCCTGTCACCATCCAGGTGCCAGCACTCTGATAGCAGAGTCAAGCCCCAAGGGCCCTCTGCCAAACATTGCTGAGATTTCTAGAGAAAAAGAGACACAGAAAGTATCAGAGAAACGAAAACATAAGAATTGTGATGCCATTTTGGACTTTACCAAAAATACCTCCATAGAAAAAAATAAAACAATGTCTGTCTTTGATGAAGATTCTAAAAAAACTGAGCTGTCACCACCTGCAAAGTGCATGACGGTCCCATCATCTGCTACAAAGGTGAAACTTAACCAAAATACACATGGAAGAGTCATCCAAAAGGACCAAGAAGAAAGGGGTTTGACTTCACAAATAGCTGTCGACCCAAACTCGGAAGAACTGTTCCCAGAGAATAAGGATGACTTTGTCTCCACAGGGACAAGTGAAGGCCATGTGACCAGGGAATGTCACGAGGCAAGCTCCAAGAGTGTCAAAGAGCCCATTGTTGAGGGCACTGCTGTGCTGCCTGCAGACTCACATGACAGACAGACAGACCAAGTACTGACAGTGCAAGACTCTGACCTGCCACACTTAGCCCGGGAGCTGGCGGAAGAGGACAGAAGGCATCGGAAAACACCTCTCAGTCAAGCTTGCACGCCAGACATCTCCTTACAGACTGACAGGAAGTCATGCAGAAAGGACGACCACATAGAAAGACAAGTGGGGCTTTTGGGTTCCTTTTCAAATGACAATTTCAGAAGTGGCTTCAAAACAGCTTCTAACAAAGTCATAGAGCTTTCTGAGCACAATGTTAAGAAAAGCAAGGTGCTCTTCAAAGATATTGAAGAGCAATACTCTGAAAGGTTAGCTTGTGCTGAAATTGTAAATACTTTCCCATCAGGTAATGAGAAAAAACAAAACAGACCACACGCACAGAGCTCGCCAGCCATGAATCCTGCATCTGAGGGTGTGCAGGGCAGTGCATTTGAGTTTGGTAGTGCAAGGAGTTGCTCAGCTCCTCAGATCCTACCTCTAATGCACGATTTGAGTAGAAACCCTAGCTTAACCCCTAGCCAAAAGGCAGACATTTCTGAGCTCTCTGCTATCTTAGAAGATTCGGGGAGCCAGTTTGAATTCACACAGTTCAGAAAACCAAGCCATGTTACAGAAAAGAATGAAGTTGGAAGATGCAGAAACCAAGTGGCAGTCTTGAATGGCTCTTCCGAGGGTCTGCAGGCCGTTGCTGTTGACATCCCAGCTAACACCCTGCCCACCAGGCACAGAGATGTGAAGCCGGATCGTGCAGTTGGAGGTGAACAGAAAGTTGCTGCCTGGCAGAAAAATGTTTGTGGAAGTACGTCCAGCTCTCTAACTGGTCAGAATGGCAAGGAGCCTACTGGCTTCTGTTCTGCACGAGGCACAAAAATCTGTATTTCTAGCAAGGCTTTGCAAAGAGCTGTACAACTCTTCAGTGACATAGAGGACGTTGGTGAGGACCCCTCTACACCAGCCAGTCCCAGAGGCTTCTCTTCAAGTGGACGTGCTGCCGTGGGTCTAGTGGCCGAGAGAGAGAATCTCAACGGTGACACAAATTCTGATGAGAAATGCCAGCTTGCATTACAAAACACTGTTGAAGAGAACACTGAACCATGCGAGAGAAAAACAGTGAGTGAAGAAAATACATGTGCACGTGCCAATAGAAACGGCTTAGGAGACGCTGATGGCAGTAATTCAAGTGAAAAGGATATGGCCGATAGTCACAGAGCTGAGGAGGGCTCTCCGGCTCTCACTGATGAGCCCAGCATGGATCCAAAACTATGGGGCCAGTTCACCGAGGAGGGAAACAGTGACATCAGAGACGTCCTCTCAGATTTAACTTGTTTGGAAGTTGTGAAGGCTGAAGAAACACTGCACAGTGAGGCTTCCCATAGAGAACAGTTAGTTTGTATTCAAACGGGGCACACTGTGAAAGATGATGCCAGCTGTCATTTAGCCTTTCAGACTGCAGGTGACTCACCTGGTAAAGTCACATGTTCATTTGGTGAAAATGCAGAACTGGCTAGCTTTGCAGAGCCTGTGAACTCTGAATTGCATTCTAACGGAAATAACAAAATGGATAGCTCTAATTGTGAGAAAAGAGAGGTAGTTGAAAAACAATTAGAGAAAGGAAGTAACTTACTTGGCCCTGAAAATAATTTACTGACTATCACCCAACAACCTAGATATGAAGTTGAAAAGACCAGAGGAGCTGTCACGGTGGGCTTTCGCACAGCAAGTGGGAAAAAAGTGAATATTGCGAAGGAATCTTTGGACAAAGTGAAACATCTCTTTGAAGAAAAGCAAGCTGATAGTGAGGCCGTTGCTCTGAAGCGGGGAGGGGGCTGTGTAGGAGGGCATGAGTTATTATGTGAGGCGCTTGACAGACCCTCTGTCTCAGGGTCTGCAGAAACGGAGGCTTCTCTAGGTGGTGGTGAGAGAATCCTTGCTCCTATTAAGACCATGGAGTTCTCAAGTGGTAATTTACACAGTCACACTGACCGTCTCATACCATCAACTAGTATTTCTTTACAAGTTGAAGTCCATGGAAATCAAGGGAAGAAAGCAGCAGAAAGTCCTGAGACTTGTTACACAGACTCCTCAGCTCCTTCGGCCACTGAAAACCCAGCTTTGGCATTTTACACGGGACACGGGAGGAAAATATCTGTGACTCAGACATCACTGTTTGAAGCCAAAAAATGGCTCCGAGAAGGGGAACCGGAAGATCAGCAGAGCAAAAGAAACACCGCTGGTATTATTTGTTTAAAAGAAGACGCTCAGGGCTACGTAGGAAGTCTCTCATGCATCACTACCCCGAGAGGCCCAACAGAAAATGATAGAAATAATCTCACAGAGAAGCAAGATGTAGATCCCTTACCTCACAGCGTTTGGAACAGTCCAGCGCTTTATCCTGATGAGATCCATAGTAAACCAGGCTGTCTCTCAGAAAAGAAACTGGACAGTGCTGGTCTCAAGCCAGTAGTAGCAAATGCTGTAGATAAAAAAAGCACAAGTGTTTCTGGAGCCCCATCAGTAGTGAAAGCAGACACAGCCCAACAAGCGATCAAGGAAGGCACTTTTGCTCTGGGACTTGCAACTAACAGTCCTCAAGAAAACACAAGCACGGCCATGTCTGATGCAAGGAACCTTCAGGGCAGGCCACCAGCATTCAGTACAGCAAGTGATAAAAGCTGTATTTCACTAGAATCCATTACAAAAGACAGAGAGATGTCTGCAGAGCAGTGCTGTGGGGTCGCCCAGAGGAAAGCAGACCCTGGCCACACAGCAAGTGTTGCAGGCCACCCAGAAGCACCCGAAAGTTCAGGAGGAAGTTGCCTGTCACCTTCCCGTGAGGGTGGTGGTGAAAGCAGTGTGCATTCATGTGAGATTCTCGATAGAAGTTGGCGCACACACGTCTTACATCACCACCAAAGTTTGTCTGAACTGGAGAAAGTTTTCCAAATCTCACCTAGTCAAGTTCACCTGCAAACCCCAAGCAGATGTCAGTTGAACCTGGGCACGCTTCCCAAACCAGTCCCTCCTACGGATGCTTGTGGAATCTTTAGCACAGCGAGCGGACATTCCGTGCACGTGTCAGACGCTTCCTTACAAAAGGCCAGACGATTATTTTCTGAGATCGAAGACAGTGCCACGCTTCCAGCTTCCAAAGGACCCATTCAGAGTGACACAGAACATTCAAACAAGACCGCGACACACGCCAAACTGCCGTCACCCCAAGAAAGGCCTTTGTCCACCGTGCCACATCCCGCTGCCTGCTCTGGATTTAGCACAGCAAGTGGGAAACAGGTCATCATTTCCGACCGTGCCTTACACACAGTCCAGGGGATGTGGGAGGAGTTGGACCTAATGGCGGCTGAATGTCATCCTCTGTCTCCTACCTCTGGACAAGACGGAGCAGAGGGTCTTCCGCGTCCTCGCACTGACATGAGAATCTCCAAGCCCCTGGGGAGCTCTTCAGTGGGAAGGACCTGCGTGAAGGAATTTCAGTCACATCCTTCTAATACAAAATGTGTTTCTTCAGAGAACTGTCTCCCGGGCAGGGTTTCTCCACAGCCCTTACCGTGGAAACAAGATAAACAGCACGTGGTATCAGGACCCAGAGCATCGCTTGTTGAGAACATTGTCCTTTTGGGAAAGGAGCAGACTTTTCCTAGAAGTGTGAAAATGAACACTGGCAGAGTCAAAGCATCTTCTAATCTGTCTGTGGGAACAAGTGGCGACGTTCGCTGCACTTACGCCCAAGATGCAGAAGACAGCTTTGAAACAGAAGCCGTGGAAATTGCCAAGGCTTTTATGGACGATGAGGAGCTGACCGACTCGGAACTGCCAGGTCGCACCAGACGTCGTCCGTTCACCTGCCCAGCAAATGAGGAAACGGTTGTATTCAGCTCCAGGGTCGGAAAAAGGAGAAAGGCACTCGTCTCAGCAGGTAAGTCTCCAGATTTATCCTTAAGGGTCACAGAGAGTTAAAGCCGTGAAGCTGTTAGTAGGCCTGGTGTGCCCCTTATAGTTACAGAAGAAAGGTCTGCTAGTCTCCCTGAGAACAGCCCATGAGAATAACGACAGGACAGAGCTAGAACAGGAGCCTGTACATGGCAAGACACTCAGCATGCACAGTGGCCTTCGCATCAGCCACCTCCTCAGCCCTGTGGGCACAGGATGGAACCTGCCAGAGGGCTGGCTGTCTCCCTGAGCACAGGGGCGGTGTCCATCTCAAGGTCATGGGCTCTCTTCACCAATGACCAACGTGTCCTCGCCTGGCACTTGGCTTCCTGGCCACATTTACAGTGTAAGGGAGTTGAAATATTATCTTCCTGCTTCTGAAGAACACACAGTTTCAGGAAACCGGAAATAACCAGCTCCTCCTAAAAGCTTCAGGCTCATAGAATACATGTGTTATATGTCATCTCGGTCAGTCCTTCACAGACCGAGAACAAGGCCAGCCACTGCATTTCCCCACATTTCTGCCCACAAGTCATCCTTGTTACTAGGTGCCTTCTGCTCATCTTCCTTCCTAGTGACTAACGTAACTGAGAAAGCACGCCCCGGCCCTGTGCCACCCACGGCTGTGCCGCTGTGCCTAAGCCCACTGATCCAGTCACCCTGTAGAGGTCTTTTCTAGGACACAGCTCAAAGTCCTCAGGGACTGGCTCCTTCTGGTAACATGCCCAAAGTATGTGAGACAAATTCTCTCTCCTTGTTTTTAAGTTTTCCTTAATCAAGTCCTTTCCAAGTCAGAGACCAAATCCACCTTGGAAGAAACACAGCGTGAACACTCCTTAGAAGCAAGAGTGCTGCGTGCTCACTTCTAGCCGTGTACTGTAGCCTGGTGTCAGGAGAGGCCAGGCCCTTTCATGTAGGAGAGTAGAGGGTCAGTGGGGAAAAGGAAGCCCCTCAGTGAGATGGGCTGACAAGGGCAGCAGCCTCGGCTCACAGCAGGCAGTGGTTGTGAGACGTACAGAAGCAGGCGGGGCTTTGTGCTCTTCCACTTGCAGGGACACAGTTCAAATCCCCCAGCTGCTCCGTGAGAGAAGGACGGGCAGTCAGTCTCCTGTGTGATTTACTGCCTTTGAAAACCCTCTGGAGGGTCAGCTGTGGGTCAGTTCTGACTTGACAATACACAGCACAACATTTGTACTTGGAGGTCAGCACCTGTCAGGAGCACGTCACCGCACTACCACCAGGTCACATGCTAGTTCAAGTTAATTTTAGTACTAAGTTGATAGTACGTGCCTGGAACTATTTCCAGTTCTTTTGCACAAAATTTAAATTGCACAGGTGGGTTGCTGTTGTTCCTAGAAAAACAAACCATTCCTCTGGGTCATCTCAGTCATCATCATCTCATTTGCCTCGCTTCTGCACATGTAAACCGCAAAGCCTTCAAGTTGACTCCCAACTCTAGCAGCCCTGTAGGACAGAAGACCACCCTGTGAGTGTCCAGCGCTGTGACCATGGCAAGTGGCGTGAATGAGCCGTGTTGAACACAGCAGCCAGGCTCCCTTCTGTTCTGTGGAAGCCTGGAGCTTCATTGGCTTCTGATGGTTTGAACAGTGCAGGCTTTCGTTAAGGTGCTGAGTCACTTTATAGTGATAAAGCCTGTGTGACATTTTTTACTCATTTAGTCCTACAAATTCATCTCCAGTAATAAAGTCTGAAGGGAGCTCTGGTGGCCTAGTGGCAAGAAGCTGCGCTGCAATCAAAACACGTGGTTCAGATCCCACCAGCTGCCCCGGGGGAGCGGGATGGCAGTCTCCTGTCGTGCGATAACTCAGAAAACCTGCAGAGTCAACTGTGGTCGGTTCTGACTTGATGGGACTCACTGGCCCCAACGGTACAGCGTAAAAGTGCCACCTGCGTGCTGTCCCAGAGCAACACGGACGAGCTTGGGTTCTCCACTCGTGTAGCTTTAAAATCAGGAGGGCGACTTTTGCTGGTATTTTTAGGTGATTTGCTGTAAACTTATCATCCTCCTCCTCAGTCACTTTCACTCCAAGACCTGGTCACTCAGAAGTCCCTCCTTGAATTAAATGCCCTCACAAAGAATGACTCTTGGAAGAGATTGCGTTTTTCTCTGTTGCTGGTAAACCTGACACAGTGCAGGTTATGAAGAGAGCTGCTCTCACCTCTGGTAACACATGTTTCTAACTGAAAGCAGTTGACTGTGACTCACAGTGGCCCCAGGTCAGAGTAGCGTGAGGCTCCAGGGGTCTTCAGTGGCAGGGTTTGGACGTGGTCACCAGGCCTTTCTCCAGCGGGACCTCTGGTGGACTCAGGTTGTCGGTTTTGGTTGACAGCCAGACATTTATCCTCTGTGCCATCCACCCTGTTTACCCCTAGAGCCATTAAAGATGGGAGCCCTGGTGGCCCTGTGGTTAAGGCATTGGGCTGCTGACCAAGGGGTTTGGAACCCACCAGCTGCTCTGGCGTCTGCTCGGAAACACTTGCAGCTGTGGGGACCTTAGGGGGCTTTTCTCCTCTGTCCTGTCGGGCCACTGTGGGTCCATCAGATGTGGGTAGGTTTTTATTATGTAACAATAGAAATTAAAGTAATGCTTAAAAGTGAATTTTCTCAAGTTGCCATGACTACTCACTGAGTTATTTTGTGTTTTTATTTAACATACTATAAGAAGCAGGACTGAAACTTTAAAAAATGGCATGAGCGGCACAGTTCCGTTCAGCCTTGTTGAAAGCTTTACAGTTTGATGGTTACTAACAACAGTGACAGGATCTTTGAAAACTAACATGGTGATTATTTGCTTTAAAAGCGTAGTCGGACTTTTTTCCTTTTTTTTTTTTTTTTTAAGGCGAACCCCCAATCAAAAGAAACTTGCTAAATGAATTTGACAGGCTAGTGGAGACTCCAGAACAATCATTGCGAGCATGCACAAGCACCCCGGATGGTAAGGTTCCCTTCTGCCTCCCCCTGTGGTGTCATCTGGGTCCGTTCATGAAGTTCTCGTTCTCATTTCCTCTGGGTTTATGTGTCATTGGGAAATGTTTTATGATTTAACTTCATTCTTAGACTTACATCTTACCTTCTTTCTTAAATAAACTGCTCCTTCATAAAGTCCAGTAGGACTCAGATGTTCTGTATAAATAGGAAGCATGAAATGATTATATAATAAAGACATTTGGGGCAGGGTTTGTCCCATTAAAGCTGTTTATGAGACATTTTTTCACATCCATCGCTAGTATTGGTTCTTGTCCATATTTCACTTCCAGACATTTTTCAGTGTCAATCAGTTATCTTTTAAGAAATACAGAAGGCACTTTTATGTATGAAACTCTCCTGATGATGGCCTAGGAATCACACATCTGTGGTGGGAAGAATCTTTGAAGAAGCTCCGTATCTGCAGTCAGAGCCGGGCCAGGTGTTGACTGTAAAACACATCATCAAGTACTCATATGAGAGTACAAACTGTTGTTTGTTTTGTTCTTACGTGCCATTGAGTCACCTGCGACTCATAGAGACCATGTATGTACAGCAGCTCTGAAGCCTCCACTATTCTGAGCCAATCTCAATGACTGAAACACCGACCCCCCCATTGCCCCAGTTACTCTATCAATCCATCTCATCTGAGGTCTTCCTCTCCTACTCTGTCCCTCCACCCTTACAACATGATGTCCTTCTTCAAGGACTGATCCCTCCTGGCCACATGCCCACAATATGTGAGATAGAGCTTCAAAATCCTAGACTCCAGGGAGGAACTTAGTTTCACCCTCTCCAAGACAGACTTGTTTTTTTGGCTGTCCATATGTTCAATACTCTTCTCTAGTACCACAACTCAGAGACATCGATTCTTATTTTGTCATCCTTAATCATTGCCCACTCTCTGTTTCATAGCAAGCACTTGCAACAACCATGGCCTGGATCAGGCGCACCTTAGTCTCTAGACTGACAATTTTGCTTCTCAGGACTCTGGAGAGGTCCCTGACAGCAGACTTCCCCAGTGCAATTCATCTTCTGATTTCCTGACTGCTGGTGCCAAGAGTGTTGATTGTGGATCCGCATAAGCTGTAATTGTTAACAACCTCAATCTCTTCTCCATCTATCATGGTGGTGCCAATTAATCCCAGTAGTGAGAATCTTTGTTTTCTTGATGTTGAGCTTTAATCCATATTGAAGACTATAGTCCTTGACCTTTTGCAGCAAGCGTTTCAGGTCCCCTCAGTTTCAGCAAGCAAGGTTGTATCAGCTGTATAACATAGGTTGTTGATGAGTTTTCCTCCAATCCTAATATTACATTGTGCCTCATATAGCCCGGCCTCCCGAATGATCTGTTCTACATGTAGATTGGAAAGTATGGAGACAGGATGCATCCCTGATTTTGAACTATGCAGTGTTTCCTTGCTCTATTCTGAGGAATGCTTCCTGGCTTGAGTATAGATTTCGTGTGAACACAATCAAGTCTTCTGGGATTCTCATTCTCCTCAAGGTTAGCCACAATTTGTTGTGATCCACAGTCAAAAATGCCTTTACATAGTCAATGAAACGCAGATAGACATTGCTTTGGTACTCTGTGCTATCAAGATCCATCTGACTTTAAAACTTAGTACAGTAAAAGCAAAATCACCATTTCCTAAGTATTTTGTCACATCTAATGTGTCCTTGTAAATAGCATACACACTCATACAGCACACAGACAACGGGGTGACAGTATTTCCGTGAAAGCAGGGCACTCAAGTCCAGCCACCTTGCCACACCTAATGGACATTGTATAGCCCTCGCTGGCTCCAGCTTTGAGCCACGCTTGGTTGCTTCCCCAGGCCCCTCGTTCTCCTGGCTCTGTTCTGCATCTCCTCCTGTTCCTTTTGTCTCTTTGCTGATCCCTGTCTCTAAACCTCATTGGCCTTAGGCTCTTCCTCAGAGCTCTTCTGTGCTAAACTCCAGGGACTTGTTTCCGAAAAGCTGGGTTTCTGCCGCCTTTCACTGGGAAAACTGACCTTTGAAGATAGAGTTTAAAGTCGAAAAAGAAGATGTATTATGTAAGACACTTAGGAGACAGAATAAGCCTTACCAGATCTATATTGCTGTCTTGGAGACTATGGGGCTTGTGTGTGAGTGATTACAGTGCCTCCTTTTGTTCTGAGTTGTCTGGGCAATGATTATGACCTTGACTAGTTGTTTGGTTTTATCAGCATTCCAGACAGTTGGTGTGATTCGTGTATTGTAGCTTAAGAGGAGTAACTCTTAGTCACAGATCACAGGAACAGATGGGGGAGGGCCACAAAGGGGTTCTAGTTTGCTGATAAAAAACGAGTCGTCTTAGGTTTGGAAGAAGGAGTGGCATCTAGTTCCTAAATAACATGCCTCTGGAGACTCTATGAACTATGAGAAACGACAACAGTTAGGGAAAGGCTTCGGGTCTTCCGTTCATTGGGTCACTATGAGTCCTGCTTGACTCAACAGCAATTAACAAGAAGTCTTAGTTCATACACAGCTATTACTGTACTCATTTGTTGTTTAAAAAGTCCTTTTGCCTAGGGTGTTATAGATTGTTAGTTTTCTCTTTTTTTATTATTAAATTTTATTAATTTTAATAAGCATTTACAGAGATTTTGGGTTTTCATTCATTCATTGTTGCACTATTTTCTCTACCC